TTGCAATGCCTTTGACGCATCTTGCCAGGATATGTACTAGTAGTTTCTAAATTTATTGTAAATGTATAGTGACGTCCACTGTCTGTGCACTATAGACCCATTTACACAAGAAGTAAACATCAAGGAGACAACGTGTCGCTGCCCGAATATTAGGGAACGGTTGGCGGAGATTTGCTTTTAAAAATAAGGGGGGTGTGTGTCTCAGCTCACTAGGTTCTTCGTCTCATAGTTACACTAATCATTGGGATGAAATGAAGAGTCCAGTCCATGATTGCCATCTGATCATGGCTACACAATGTTCTACAAACTTAAAATGATAAACAAAAAGGAACAAATGACATGATCGCGTGTCGGTGAGTTCGTTAGATAAAAATCACCTTTGGCAAGGTCATGTATTAAAGAATCATAATGGTTTTATTTTCTATTTTATTATTGCAATGGAAATTCCTCTTAATGACCACTGACATATCTTGTGTGCATTAATTGTCACCAGAAAATTTTAGACTTCTTGGAAAGAAACCTTGTTTGGGAAATATAAAGTAACAATGCCCTCAGATGGTGAATGGAGTAGAATAAGGTATTATCGGTGACATGAATTACTTGTCTAGTTGGTATCATCAGTGTTCATAACAAATAAACCCGCCTGTCGTTGTGACCCAGATAATGTTCCATTGTGATAGAATTGTAAATATTAGACATTATGATTATTCTTTACTTTGGCAAATTCGGCCTAATTAACATTGACTGATCGGACAAATCGGTTCAACTCAAATGAAACAAGAAAAAGGTTACCTTTCAATTATACCCGTTGTACGGAGGACTTATAAAACATAAAATTGTGGATGGTTTCGGTAAGATTCGCCTTGATAAAAAAAATTAATTCGAATATTTTAATTTCCATATTCACGTACTTATTTTAGTTATTATCATGATCATAATATTATCAACGTCATTTCTCTTTGGCACTGCATGTTTCTTAACCAGGGCTAAAAGAATGTTGTCATGAAACCTTAAGGAAATGTGATATTTTGCTATAATACCCTGTCATGTCATCCCTAAACCCTGTCCTTAAGGTGTTCAAACAACGCCACAAGGTGAATTAAAACGCTTCAAGTAATCTCCCACCTTCAACATACTCCCTCGGGCAATGTAACTCGACTGACACAACATACTTTTCGCTGTCAGCATTCGCGAAAGGTGTTCGGGCCAGCCTCGGTATTATCGAATCTACCCTCTTGTATCTAGCAGATGCTTCAAGTTGCGAATGGCTTGGTTAGGGGGTCGCCGACCTGAGGCATTGATTTCCTTTCTAAACTTCCTCCTGCTTGTCTTTATTTTTAGTGATAATTCTGGGTTTTTCTCAGTGGCGCTTCCGCAAATTTAAAGAAAAGTAGGGGCACAATCTCTGAAGGACAGGGTGTTTTTTTTTCTTAAAAGCTAATGTGTTGTTCTCAGCGTCGTATCCAAAAAATGAAAGGAAAAGAGGGATGTGATTCCAACCCCCCTTCCTACCAAGTTGAATGACGGAAATTAAATTTGTTCCTGGAAAGCCCCGTATGCCTTAGAAGAATTGCCAAATGAACTCGCAGATTTTCAGGGACCGACAACCGGGGTAACCATAGTTCTACATTTGATTCACTTTTTGCTGGATAAGGCAATCATTTTTTCATTCTTTTACATATTTAAAAAAAAAATCCTTTTCCCAGCCACCTTAAAAACCACTTTAGAAGTCGTCCACATAATTATGAGTGTTGTTAAATACCTTATGGAATTAATATGGACAGTGAACAAAAATATTTTGGTAAATTGATTTGAGGAGCCTTTGTACCGAACAGTCGTTTTTTCCCCGATTTTTTAAAGGAACATTCATTTTTTTTAAAGATTCAAATTGGGCAAACACCCCCAGAAATGTGTAGCGTTTTAGTCTTCCAAAAATTCATATATCTGAAAATGAAAAGGATGGTTCGTTATCCCGAAAAATCAAATTGGCATCGTAACATAGGGTTCCCAGTTTGGTGCTTTATTTTAAAAGGTTTGTCTACGATAAAATTGACCTAAATATTACGCTCTGTGGATATGAGGTATACCTTTCCAGATTGATTTTACCATAACACACAATTATGTATTCCCCTACATTCTACAATTACCTAATGCGGATAACCACACTGATTCAATGATACAAATTAACAAACCAGGAACTGATTATTGGCCACAATGAATTTTTTTGGTTCATTGGAGAGGAAATAGGAAAAAAACAAAAATGTGGTAAAAGTTGAAAAAAATAAAAAAGAGAGAATTCGAGGAAATCAGGGATGCAAAAAAATGTAACAGTATACTTTTTTTCCAAAGTTAAATTGGGACATACAAAGGCCATTTGCTTCCTTTTCACGCCAATCAAATTCATGTTCCTGTGTACTAGTATTCATTTCAAACAAAAATATAATGGCAAATCCAAAGGGATATTAACCAAGAAAAGAGCCCACATGAAACTCAAAACTATATGCTTTTCTCGTTCTCACGCATCGGTTGGAAAAGCAGTATTTCATGACGCATGTGAGGGGTGTACGTATCATTCAACTAGGTCAAAGGCACCGGGTTGAGGATCTTTTCACCAGGAAACAGACGATACGCTCTCTACATCTAGATTTAGAACAGTGCTTTCAGAAAGAAAGAAAAATACATATACTGAGGATGTTTTTAAAAAACATCCCTTACGACTCTTCAACGGATGGGAATGGAGCGCCATTGTACAATTTTATTCATGTCTAAAGCAAATAAATGATTTTTCTTGTAATTTCGATAAAAAAACATGTGCTGCGATACGTTGGGGGAAACCGAGTACACCAGGGTGTAAGAGACTCTTCTTAAAACAAAACGTTTTGTTCGATTCGGATTAGCAGCATTGCCGGGGATGGTCATGTCTCTTGAATTTATATTCACGATAAAATAGGAACAGTTTTAATGCCCTGGTGAAGCTCTTAAGAACCCCTAACGTGTCAGAATCTCAATTTGTGTTGTTCTATAGCAAGTCATCAAATTGTTAAAAAGAGTTTTCTCTCATTTACTGGAGCACAATAAAGCAGTTGAGAGGTGAAAGCTATATTGAATTTGATTAGTGACATAATTGTTTTGCCGCTTCACAACAGGAAATCAATCCCCAACAGCATTGTTTTTATACCAAACGACTACTTCATATATTACATAATTAATTTGTTTTTCATAAGGAAATTGGAATGATCAAAATACTCCGAAAGTCCTAAATCCGTAGTATATGCCTTAGAGAACGTGTCTCCTCCTCCCCTTTTAACCAGAAATCCTGAAAAGTGTTCATGGAAACCTTTTTTATGCACGATATCCAATACACAAACACGTAACACGACATATTTGCGTGTCCCCAAACAATTCAATGACAACTTCTTTCTTTTCATATCTGTAAAAGATTTCACAAAGCGATTTTATTTCTGTTCCTACCCTTCAAACATTTCCTAGAGGACGATTTCTCTTTCATAGCCCTTCAGGCAATTCCATGAACAATTCTCTATTTTCATATCTGTAAAAACATTTCCACAAGAAAATATTTCTTTCAAATCCCTGAAACGATTACCAAAAATATGATTCTTCTTTCATATCCTTGAAACATTTCCATGAATTAAAATGTTCAAATGATAACAACTTTCATTTTGCTCGCGGGTCTTCGTAAGGTATACTGCCGGGATTTGGTTTCCTCTATACATTCTTTTTATTATTCGAAAACGAAAGATGAAAAATATTCTTGCCTTGTTTAAAGAAGGCATTGTGGGAACGGGAGATAAGAAATGTTTCTATATCCACATTTTCGTATTAAAATTTGTAGCACTTAATAGTAATCCGAGTCGAAATCGATCGATTTCTGCATACTTCCTAGAATTATTTTCCAAAAGAAAAGACCCCCACTTTAGGCTGAAAACAGTTCAACATAAGCTTCATACAGTGTTCCATATAACCTATATTTAGGGTTATCGGGAAACGTAAACAGAATCGTGTACATAAGCATTCACAGATTTTGGAACATCGTGACAAAATATCCATTTTCGTGAAATGTTTTGCTTGTTCAGAAAAACTACGTCTCTTTCATCCAAAGTAAAACAGCAGAGAACATGCCCTTTTGAAAAAGAAAAAAAAGGGCAAACATTGAAATGTTCGCGTACATCCCTTGAAATGAACCCCCCCTTTCTACGCGAAAGTTCTAATTATCATGCGTATACAAAACTAATATGAATGGATTTTCCGCCGCTACAGCCCCCTCCCCCCCCCCCCCTACCAATCCCTTCACATCAAAGATCGGCCAGTGAACGTTCGACTACATGCCTCTGGCCAAACAGGTGATAGACTGTGATGAACAAATTAGATTTTGCTTCATCCCGTTTTGGTCCGCCAACAACTAATGAACACTCAGCATCTTCGGAACCGATAGGGAAATTATATCACAAGGGGGTCTTTCCTCTGCCGTCGCAAAATTCTCTAGGATATGGTATTGTCGGTGGAATTTTATTTTAGAGAACAATCCATTTTGCCGGCGTGATTACCGATGGTACAAACGGATCGGTAAGATTTTTTTTACGCCGGAGTGCATAAATAATCACCTATAACAAAAAAAAAAGGGAAGCTTTACGTCATAACTTTGCCGGAATCCAACCTAATATATAGTACACAGGGTATTCGATATTAGCGGCTTCTTCTTGCAGTTACAAAGCACTGCACACGTTGTAATATCATGGGGCCACTTAAAATATGAAATGCCATATTTAAATATACAGAGACAGAGAGAGACAGAGACAGAGAAACAGAAATGGAGAGACAGAGAGAGTCTAAATGCCGCGGGACTGTTCGTTTGGACGAAGAGCAGGGCGATACCATAAGAATCAAAGAACAGGTGACTATATAAACAAGTATTACTCTGTGTTGATAACGATTGTCAGAGTATTACCCGAAATAGCAACAAAAAATGTATGTAGCTTGGATTCCAAGTATTGTAGTTCATTCTTTATTAATAGGTAAATAGAATAGCTCGTCACATGGTCAACAGGATTGAAAAACCCATAGCCTTGAATATGTAAGTAAACCAGTCTAGTCTATTGAAACTAGAATTCTACACAAAATGAAATACACCCATCAGCACTAAGGTTAATGTCGACTAGTTGATTATCGACTGGTGAAGTCCTTTTCTCTGAATTGTTTGTGTATGGATTTCAACATCTTTGGGACGAGCAGCAAGTACAACAAAAGTTGTTAGGTCTTATACTGAGACTTGATTAATTTATAACGAGATTTCAATCCGGGTTTGGCTAGTGACTAGGTTTGGCGAACTCATACTGCTGTTAGACGTTTAAGCCATTGTTTAAACAATGAAGAGGATGAAACAACCGATTCCTTTGACATTTATGACTCAAACTACGACTGAACCTATTTCCTTCAAGATCTAAAGATTTTTAATTCCGGATGTTCGACTTACCACACATATTTGCTATATACGCCTACAAGAACAAAATCGAGGATAGAAATAGAAATTTATATGGATTATTTTCTTTCAACCCTATAACTCGGTTAAATGAACGTTCAGTGTAGAAATGAACTGTTTTAACTTCATACATACAAAATGCAAAAGTACATCTCCCCCAAAACACGCATTCACCCACATACATACGATCGCACACATACACACACGCGCGCACACACAAACACGCACACCAAAACATATTTCATTTAGTTACACGCTTTTTTGAAGCGTTCAGTACTGTATCTGTTTGAGGCGGATAAAATATTATCTCATATTGTCTTTAAGCAAATGATACCTCAGCCCTGTAACATTACAATTTACACCCAAGCACACATTTAAGTCAGTTAAGATGATGGTTTATATGTTGTATTCGAATATCGATTATAATGTTCATAACTGTTCGGTATTGGGCATTATTAAATGAATATTGTCAGTTTAATCATTGATAGGATTGATTATTACGAAAAAACGAAGAAGATTGATAATTTCTCTATCTTCAAAGCAAACGACCAGCAATGCAGTAAAATAATGGATATATGCCATTACATTCAAGTAATTTTAGAGCTACTAAAAAGTAATACATAGTATTGGTGTAACGTAAAAGTTATAGATCTATTTAAAGCGTGTATATTTCTCCTTTTCCTAGTCCCATTTGATTTGTTATATTTCTTGACTTACCCAGTCATTGGAATAACATTAAGAGCACAAAATAGGCATTATACTTCGGGCATAACAAAACTGTTTTCCATTTAAATTGCAAAAATCTATATTTATTAAAGAATTCAATTTTTCATTATTAGGAGATATATAACTATAATGAGAATCTTAATTGGGATTTGTTTGCTGAAAAACAACTTCTTTGTTAAGATATTCATAATTTATGGAAATCATTCATGACAGACATAGATTTCAGTGGATGATAAATCCTCTAAGAAAATCAAATCCTTGAAGTGTAGTCTCTTTCTGACCAAATTATTATTTGGTTTTCTTATCCAAAACGTGAGAAGAATTGAAGGATTCTATTTAACTTAACTCTTTGTATTTGTATTACCTACAAATTAAAGTTTGTCTCGATTCTACTTAACACAACTATTTTTCGATTCAAGTTGCATATTTACATGAAAACGAAGCATACATCGAAACTAAAAATATTCAATCTCGCTTTATCCACGTCCATCATATGACTTAAGATGCAATCTCAGTGTACTTAAAATCGTGCAAAACGGACAAGGGTGAAATAGACAACTTAAGCTTATTTGCTGTCCTGGGTTGCTATCTGAATAAATTTTGTATTACAATTACGATGAGGGATATGCTCCTGGACAGTTTGAAGAAGTTTGGGAATCAATTGTGGGAAGTTTTTTGTCATAACAAAAATAAGGTATCAATTACCAGAATTTGGTCAGAAACAATTAATTGGAATTCTTTTCATCTGAAATTTAGAAAAAAAAATATGTATTTTCTGTTTTCTGGATACCACTAGTAGTTTTATAACTGCCTTCAGCAAATTTGAACTGAAAACCTGGTCGGATCGTTGAGAAGACATTTCATTGAAATTCTGCTCACTTTTATAGTTAGATTGCAACCTCGACATATTTTATAGCAAAGTGACAAGATATATCGTTAAACCTAAACCTGTATCGAAACGAATTCCATGTCCATTTGCTCACAATACCCAATTTTGGCGGTAAACGAATTGCAAATATATTATATTTTTCATAAATTTCCTTTTTTATACAAAACATAACTCTTCTTGATCTATTCATAAATTACTCTCTGTACATTCGAATGTCCAGATCTGCACGCAGAAAATCATTCGCTGCAACGTCACATCGCAATTTGGATGGCAAATGGTGGTCCCATATATTGACATAACTGTTATGACACACAAATCCGATTGGAGTTCATTATGACTTTGTGATTAATGGGCCAATAAAAAGGGCAACCAGTCCATATCTGATTTAAGCCTTTTCTTGTCTCTCGACCCATTATAAGTGTCTCGACAGTACATTTATGTCGCTTTGACGTCATAGAATGTTCGACTCGTTATTTTTTGTAGACGGATAAATACAACTATCTGGTGTGTTCATTCATTGATAACCACATGTAATAAATACGCGTGCGTGTTGTGATGTTTTACGGAAAGCCTGCATTAATTCAACATTATTCCACTGCCTGTATGAGTCCGGTAGTATTCTGCCTTTCCATTTGTGTAGTCAGAACATATTTTCCCGCTGTTTCAATTTTGCAAAGCAGTTGCCGAATATACCGTCACAGACAAGGAAACATGATTTTGGTTGTAGAAATTGTGATCAAGGATGAGTGATTTCTATTGAGATGTGTTCCATATCTTTTCTCCAATTAACCCGCGTTCCTCTCATGACGACTCGCTATTCATTGTCAAAGTGTAGACACAAATCACTCCACAGACGATCAACTTCCTGACTAATTTCCTGTCAAAATGGCAGCGGATTGAACTTTGATGTGACAGAACATTGTTGCAAAAGTGGTTCACATAACTAATATCAATCAAACAATGAGAACATTTTTTTCTTTTATTCACATGGTTGAGGCTGTCTTTTGCGATGATCCTGGCACTTCCAGACAAGCATGTAAAGACGGTTTTCGTCCATTTGCCAGGACCCCTCGGATGGTGCCCTGAGTTTGGCTAAGCTCGAACCGGTCAGTGAACCCAGGACCTCCTTGGTTAAAAATTGATCCGCCAATGGGTGAAAACATTACTAATTCCTTGAGAGCTCGCCTAAAATTCGGATTCCGTGCTGCGTAAATAAATGGATTCGCACAAGAGTTACAGAAGGCGAGCGCAACAAATGACCGGTACACTGGACTGTAAAGAAAATCAACCTCCACCAAACCAATATTGAAAGCAAGGTATCCTATTTGATCGGGTGTCCAACAAATAACAAATATTATAACCACGATGAAGAGCATTTCGATGACTTTTCTTCGCGCTTGTAGTAGCTTTAACGCAGGACCCGATCTTTTATCCCGCTTGGCCACTAACGACCTGGCTTGGTGATTTAAGGCGCGGATTGTGTATACATTCGCGAGAAGCATGATTATTACAGGAATGAGATACTCCACCAAAAATAGGACGATACCAAAAAACATCTGGAACTCCGGTGTTGGAAACTTGACGGTGCAATTGACACCGGGTGTATCGACGAACGACACGTAGAAGCTATTGGTGTTTATTATAAAGGATACGATCCAGATTACACAGAGTATGACATCAGGTCGATAGCCAGCAAACAGTCGCTGGTAGCGAAACGGATAACACACGGCGACATAACGTTCACCTGATATCATGATTAATGAAAAAACCGAAGCCATTATCGATATCCACATGCAGACAGATGAATATATGACTTTACAATAGAGCTCCCCCAGGACACCGTATGGAAGGCTGGTCGGGGTTGGGATGGGGATGATGAAGATTGAGGTGAGGAGGTCCGCGACGGCGAGGGCGAGGATGAGTTTATCCGTGCTCGTTCGACGTCGTTGCTGGCGAATGATGACGAGGACGACCAGCAAATTACCGAGGAATCCCACAATGGCAAGAAAAAGGCACATCATCTGGAACCAAGCCCAGAAGACCACTTTAGGTTCCTCTTCCAAAATAATTTCTGTCCCATTATCGGGGTAGTATGTCTCCGTTTCAAAAGTACTTGATTCCATGGTGAGTTATAAACTCCTACTCCACTGCCATATCACGAAGGTAGCAATGTAACAAAGCCAAGAGTGCCGTACCTCTACGGTTCAGTGTTTGCATAAAACTGGGTGACATGCTCACTCCTCGGAGGTACATCAAAGCATAGCTGGGATATTACACTTGTATTTGATGTGCAGTTGAAACTTGCCGACTCGAAAGGCGAGGAGAAAGACTGGCAGCACGTGTGTTTGTTGCTGTATTGATTCAACCCAGTCACGTTTCGCACACTTATATCATATCACTACTTCATTTCACGGGAAAGAAGAGAAATGCGTGCCTTTACGTCCCGTCTTCAATCCATCCACCGCGCATGCTCGCTTGGCCAGCATCCTATTGGCTTTCGTGCACGTACTTTTTTGCCCAATGGCGGCAGACGGTCGAGAGTAGTCATATATGAAGGGCTAGTTGTTGTCCACCAGACGTTTTCCTCACGTAGGGATTGTTCACGCGGTGTTAGCTCTTAATCAATAAACCATGGTGCCAGAAGCGGCGATCTATGCACGCTAACTCTCTTCGGATTTCAGTCGATAGCCAATCGGAGTTGCACGGCGTTCACTGATTGCAGACCTCTGTTCCAAACCTCCGCTCTCTGTTATCTTTTTCCACTTCGTTTACTTTGGTCGTAGTTTTTTTTTCCCTCCAGCGTCGACTCGTTACTTCGACGATCAGACGTATATCAAGTAGCGGGGAGAAACCTGCAACATGAAAACAGAAACAGAATCGTTAAGTCACGGGGAATTCAGACAGAGTATAAGCGGGATTTAATTTTACCCACCTGAAACGTTTTCCCAACTTTTGTCTTTATGAACCGTTTTGAATATTAAACGATTAAGAGGTAAAAATAGACCAGTAATGTTTTAACAATTTACTCATACGAGGTTCACTGTCCGAATGGCAATGATCAAAATAGACCACTCAAACGTCACCGTTGTGATGTGATCCATTCCCGGCTGAGACGAGTTTACGTAGACATGAATTTTTAAAAAGAAATTAAAAACCTTTATTTACACTGGAATCAAATATCTTCGATTTTTTTTCTTCATTTCCGGTGTTTCGCTAAAGATTGCTAAGCAACTACACATAAAAAAGGACATAAAAACTCCACCGTCGGTAGCATTTCAATCATTTTATAAATTGCCTATCCAAATTTTAGATTTAATCCGTCCTGTAATGTTGGTTTCATTTTTAATGGAGAGAGATCGGCACTGTATCGGACATTTATCACTCAGGTTGTTTACTCAGCAGTATATAATTAAATATAGGCAAGAGTATTCAAATATATTCTTTATGCACTGAACTAAACTGAATCTACGGGTATATTAAATTCCCAATTGCGTAATTTACCAGTTAAAACAAGTGTGATCAACATTTTCAGGTAAATCAAATCTTTATTTGACTCCCTTTGCAGTGTTTACCCTTACTCCCAGCTATGATTGGATCCACAAGAAGCTATCTTATTTTTTTTTTAATAGGATGTAGCATCTCGAGAGGGATTTAGACCAAGGCAATTGAATTATTTAATGATTTGATGACATATAGTATATGTTTTGGAAGTAACGTTTAGCATGTGGTATGTTTTTACAAACGAAGTTTATATAGGTCGGACAAGTCATTTTGGATAGATTCCTCTTATACCTACCTGCCAAAATAATAGAGGACAATAGAAAAATATGACACATCTAAATAACAGTATGAAATACGCGATACAATAACATGAAAGGTCAATTATCACGCTGTCTTTCTCATTTTACTATAAAACCTAATAAAGATGAGACATAGAAACAGATTAAAAATTGAACCATATATATCAAATAAAATTCGTTGAAGCCCTCAATAAAAAGAAAGGAATCCGAACCAAATGCATGCATCATGTCGTTCAATATTTGCGTTACCACATTGAAATGGCCATTTATCGATTGGAGATTTTGCTTGATTACGTGTTTGTATATCACTGTGACCTTCCACCTTCTCCAAGTTATCAATTCCTTTTTCCTACTGGCATGAACCGATCAAATGTAAGTCGGAAAGAATATCATCAGGCATGACAGGTGTTTTCGTGTTTATATATATGGTATAAATGTTGTATATAGTCACACACACACAGATATACACACACACACATGCTTTTATATATATATATATATATATATATATATATATATATATATATATAAACATATACATATTATATGTGAAAATAAGATTTGTCCTAAATTTTGTTTCTTGATAATGTGACATTTTAATGCTTACATCTAGAAGTATTCAAGAAAGGTTCAACCAGTCCACTTTTATTTCTTGATTTCTCGAAAACACAAAATCATTATATTATCAAGGGGGTGAATTATATTGTTGTGATATAAAATATATTTACAGAGAGAAAGAGAAAGAGAGAGAGAGAGGTTGCACTAAAGCAAAACTTCATATGTATTGATTTAAACAATATACAGCCACCATTGTGATAAACAACTTTGACCAAAACACACAAATTGAAAAAGCTGGCCTTTCCTTTTTCAAATTTCATTGCACCGTTTACGCGCTCTGACTTGTTTGGCGCTAGTTTCCTTCGAATTGCGCAATTACTATTCCGTGATGCCCCAGCTAACCCCAACCACTTTAAATCAACTCATATCTGAGATTTACTTCGAAAGACCCGGCCGTCATGATTCGAAAGAGAGCATATTTTGCCTTGAATAATGACCCGAGGGACGAGCTAGCAAATATGAAAAGAATTGTTTTTCATATCTCACCGTGTTTACGGGTGAAACTGAATGTATATTCTCGCTTGGTATGGTAATTTGCCTCTTTCGCCAACGATAATACACCGAAAATAGTTCAATATCGGATGGAGAGCAAAATAAAGCAGAGATAAATTTTGTGAGGAGGGTAGAACGGTTTCATCCACGGGAAAAACATACTATCCTAATCTCTGCTTATAGGCGAGTAAAATATCAACACGAATATTTCCCGAACTCAAAAGCATGACTGCGTTTCTTTGGGGTTTTTCGTAGTGGAACTAAGAAAAAGAAAATGAGGTATATTAGAACATCATGCTCTTAGGAGATCGTGATGAAAGTATATCAATTTATTCTGACCATATATGCTTTATAAGCATTGACAATTTGTGTGTGCTTTAAAAGCATTGATGCACAGACACATTGACAGTATAGTCGGAAGAATCAAAACATTTTATATTAATGAACCGTGTCTCTAAAAACAAGAGGGACTTTTTTTGTTTGTTTGGTTTTCTTTTTTTTTTCGTTCATTTTCCTCCTTTTTTGAGGATCACTATTGTCCATTGATAAACAAAATCATTAATTGTGACATGCTTTGTAATTAGTGCTGCTAAGTTATAAGATCATGCTAATGTGAAATTAATATTTCTTAAAATGTGAACGATTGGTTAACCATGTACATGCATTATAGATATTTCAAAATATCAACTGCATTCATCCCACCCATCCTTAAATTTTAATTAAAAATAGTATCCATACTTTCTGCATAATCGTATCTGGCGTATAGGAACAATAAAATCGTCATGTATTGTATTGTATTTATTAAACTTCATTGATGTACATCAATATTCTGTTTATAAACATATAATCACTTTACAATATATATGTCATATAAGTCAATTTACAATGTAATGTAACATATCAATATTCTGTAAACATATATACCGTATAAATCAATTTACAATGGAGTGTTTATAGCAAAACAGAAGGAAAATTATATCCAGCAAAAACACTCTTTTTTCTTTTTTTAGTAATAACAAGACATAATGCATATAGTAATATAATGTACCATAATGCATCCGAAGATTTAAATATATAAAACATAATACAGCACTTTCCTAAATAAATTATAACTCATGCAATACAAAATAGGTAAATTAGGTACATGGAATGCCTAAAATAAATGACGTAATAGTATTTATACATAACTGCGACCTACTGCAGAATTAAACCAAAAGCATAACATTGTACATTGAAAATTGAAACAATACCTGTACAAAACGGTAGAAGTATGTTTAGCTCGAGTTCGTGGTGCATTATCGTACATTTCCAAAGTGTAATTTAAAGTGTAACTGTAGCTGAAAACAACAAGTCGATATAGATATGAATGTTGATTTCCCTGTCCCCGTGCTTCCGGCCATAAAGGCACTTTCCGTTGAATCAAGCGATGTGTTTGTATTTTCAGTTTGGCCAATTAAAATCTTTTCCGTTCTGATTACATTTTCAGACGACATTTCCCAAACCTTGCGGATTTGGGAAGAAAATGCTGATTTTTTTTTTAAGGGAGAGTAGGAGGGCGGAAATAAAGTAATCAGATATCGGAAACCGTTCTGGTGATTCCAGATGCACAGTTTCCATTTTATTATTTGAGGATTTGGTTTCCTTTGATACAACTGATGTATAAACTCACACCACTCACGCGATCTGTGACAAGAACTAAGAAACACACATTACACATGATGTGCATTGCAACTTAAAATGAATACTAGTTGCAAATAGCATTAAATTCCTGAATTCATTTCACGTCTCTCCTATATTGAGGCGATGTATGAATCGAATCTTGCGCGTATTGTTATCTTTTTTTTAGTACAGAGAGGGAACGAGCCGACGTTGTTGATGTTTTCTTTAATGCTTGCTTTTCATTTCACTTCACGTCTCTCCTGTATTGAGGCAATATAATGATCGAAGCTCGAGTGTTTTGTTTTCGTTTTTTTTTTTTGCAGTACAGCCCCCCCCCCCCCCACCTAATAAGCAAAGAATATATATGAGGTTGACATTTTATGAGATCAGACTATTCGCTTTCAAAGGCTTGAAAGAGTAATGAAGCAAGAAGGTACCAAAGCAACTCAAGGTTGTAAAGTATTAACACTTTTACTCGGCTTGTCACATCATATCACTTTACTTGTTCATCTGCGCTTTCAACTCCTCTCCATGAATGAAGATAAGACCATATCATCAAGCCATCAACAAACTAGATGTTACAGATCAACGCTCAGCGATGCCATACCTGTTTTTCATAGCCGAAGATTTATTGGCGATATCAACTAAATGGATTATGGCTCTTTTAGACCGTGTATAGATTCATTTCTTTTGTTTCCAAATATCATATTCTATATTTATACGCAACCATTCTTCCTCGGATCGAAAGATATGACATACAACCTTGGCTTTTATCTTAACAAAATATCTCCGTGAAATCATGTGTACATACAAGGAGGAAATCAGTGGCAATGACGTTATTTCGCTCAAATCATGATGTTCAAACCTTCGTCTCTCAGCCAGATGTAATCTAATTGTAATTTCCTTTCCCCGCAGGTGGACAGCCCTGCTCGCTATTTGCATATTGCGTGTTGTTTTTCATGTAAGCACTTTGTTTTCATGTTACTGGGGAAGGTAGAGGGCGACACGGAAGGAAATATTCCGGTTGAATCGTTTGATAATAATCCCAGAATAAATGTTTTTTCCCTGTTTATTTTGCCCCTCCGATCAGAATCTGGCTTGTTCCCCTTTATTTTCTTTTTTTTTCTTTCCTTGTTGTTTTTCTTGTTGTTCTTGTTGTTCTTTTTAAATCCCTTTTCTTCTCCTTGCTCTTCTTTTTCTCCTTCGTCTTCCTCTTCTGTTCAAGTTGTATTTCCTTTATTTTGAGCAAGATTCGGCTTCTATAGGTCATTGTATGTTTTTTTTTAAGAAGGTACGATCACTCCCTCCAAATATTC